TTGAAAGGTAAAAATAGATAGATATACTGCAATGACATTGTATTAAAAGCAAATTTGAATAGCTGTACACATTACATATACATAAAATTGAACATAGACTCTGGATGTAAAAAATTTAACATAAAACCAACAGCAAAACAGGTACAGAGAGAGTTGGGCCAATCACACTTTTCACATCCTCAGTGGCTAGTCTAACAATCTATTCATACACTTGTATAAAAATTCTAACAAAAAGGGTATTTTTCATCTGCAACATACATTTTATAATTGTATTATAGATCTGTATTAATAATAAACTTATCATTTTAAAATAATGCACTCTCAAATTATATGTTAGAAGTGGAGAAGTTTTCCAATGACTGCTTTAAGGTTGTCACTAAACAAATCTACTAAGTACAAGCCAACTTGGGTCTATTTTACACCAATTCCTCAAGCAACTAGAATATCGTTAACCAAATATTTATTATTACAGTACGTAATACAACATGGTGTGGGTTAACAGTGAGGAATGTGGGTATGAAGGAGGTATAGTAATAAATTATTTTAATAGACAACAAAAGTATACTACCATGAAGAGACAGAGGAAGAGCAGGGATGTTAAAAGAGAACGGCCATAAAAAATGTGAAGTAGAGGAATTGGTATACTAGAGTTATATAAATCCATTTAACCTTTGGTCTCCACCAACATCCATGGATGTCTATCCTTTAAAAAATAGTAAACAAATATGCAAAAAATCTAATTCATGTATACTAATATTTTGGTAAACTTAATTCTATATACCAAAGTGTCAACTTAAATAAACAATTATGACTCCATCTCAAAAACTTATACTACTCATAAAAACCTACACCGACGATAATCCTGAATGAGCATTCAATGTCGTAAGGGTCACAAATTCTGGCAATAAAAAGCATGGGAAGCAAGATAGCCTTATAAAAAAGCTATTGCAGAAATTTATCTTATTCATAAATGTAATCCACCCAATAAAAAAAATAATAAGGAAAATGATATATCAGCTAAATTATACATTTGGGAATACATTCACAAGACACACTTATATCCCCAAGTACACACGCGAGAGTAATACCAAGGACTAGAGACAGAAAGGACAGACCACCTGGCACTTGTTTTACCCACAATACACAGCTTGGTGACGTCACTGTTGTAAACACGCATCACCTGGTAACCTCCATGTGTGCCCGTGTCTGCTCCCGGGACCAGTGTATCAACAATTATGGTTATTTGTGCAATATACGGGTGCACCAGCAAAGCTCAAATCCCAAGCAGAGAGCACATCAAGTATTATGGATATCCTAGAGATAAGAAAACTTGTTATAAATGGATAAATGCCCGCAAGCGTTCTGATAAACACCACGTTGTGGGCAAGCCGAGAACTTGTTTGAAAAGAGTTCACATTTCTTTAATATCTCCTTAATTCTGGAATGTTTGTCAATATACCAGGTATCTAGAGGAAGGTGAGACATTCGCATTGCTATATGTGAACAAAAGGAACTCTGAACATATGTAATCTTGACAAAATTAAAGTTAAGTACATTTCTTGTTTCAAGACGCGAGGGAAGATTTCTTGTGGTTTAATTCTGCAATGTCAGTCAATATCAAGTCAACCAGAAGACCGTGAGACATTGTTCTTGCCATGTCTAATCAAAAGAAAACAATAATATTACCCCAAATTAAAGAAAAACCAGTTACATTACTTAATTCACTGGCGACGGTCGTGATGCTTAACGTCTAGAGAAACTTGCTCTAATTTCTTAAGTATACATTGTAAGGCAATATCCAGTTGTCCGGAGTACCCTCAGATACTTATCTTGTCATGTCTGGCAAAAGGAAAATCTTTGCATTGCTAATAAGCTAAAAAATTTAGTTGCTTCGTCCATGTTATCAGCAAAATGCCCGGCTCTCCTAGGTGTTTCCTTGTAATATTTTGCTATTTAATTTTTGTTTTTTTGCTATATCACTTATTTTTGGGGAGGACCATGAGAACATAAGTTATTAATTTTATTATACCTGACCACAAAAAAGCCTCAGCCTTACGAGTTCTCTAAAAACGTCAACCAAGGCAAGGCCGTAGTCCTTGGTCACCCTATGGTCACCACAGGTAGCATGATGTCATTGAATGGGGCAGAGGTAATGTTTATGACGTTACAGCGGTGTGTCCTTACTGTATATAGTCCTTGAGTAATACTACCAACCCATACCCCTGAAAAAGTGTCACAGTCCTTCGAAGAGGCTTTTTTCTTCTGTAGGTGTACAATATCCAACAGATGACATGCATTAATGTTAACATCAAAAGACTCCAGAGAGCACAGACTGGTAATATTACTTTTCACGTGTAATATTTGTTTGAATTCATCTTCAAAAATCCTTAACTCTCCCCAGTCATGACAAACCAGTATTATGAAATACAGATGGTAAAAAAAAAGTTTCATACATAAGACATAGACACCATGTCACAATGTCTCACTACATCAAAAGGCCATCTTCAAAACTTAGTACTATAACTTATTCTCCTTACTGTCATCATCATCATCATCATAGAGTTTTCCATACACCCCTTCAGTTGCTTCATGGATTTCTAATCTCTTTTAATCTAAAGAAACTAGAAATGTATTCATGAAAAACTTATGAAAGAGAAGTGAAACTAATGAGAGGTACAACTGAGATGACAGTTTACAGTAACCTCCAGGTCCACCTAAAAGGCCTAACTGACCAAGATAAAGAACGGCAAAAAGTACAGGTGATACTAAGAAGTCAATCTCCATATAACAGCAGAACACACATAATGCCAACATGTGGAGAGAGCTGTTTACGTACACTTGCTTCAATGGGAAATAAGTAAAGTATCACACCGTTGAATGTATCTGTATAACAAATTAAATATATAACTGCTGAGTAAACCATTTCTAAATACCTTAAAACTTTTTTACAACATTCCATGGTCTGCATGATTCAAATTTATAAACATTTATCTTTCACGGGAATAGATTGCGGTTTATCTAACTATTGCCACATCAATTCACTTTTAATATCTAACAATGATTAGAGTTTGAGTTAAGTTTTGATTATTCACTTGTGTGTATACTGTATATATCTGCAAGACAATCCAAGATTACTTAAACTGAAAAAAAGATCAATTATTACATATTCTTTTACAATGGTATCAAAACATTACCATTCAGCTTTACTTTTACTTTACATACCATTATATAATCTGAATTTCATGTACAGTACAGTACTCTCTCTTAAATATTTCTTGAATAATATGAATTTTCTTAATATTAATTTACAAATTTTCCAGTAACACCTTAATATAAAGCATCTTTGTTTAGCTGCCCTCAAAAGTAGATACAGAATTAGTGACCAAATCTTTGATAAGACCTTCACTGAACCATTATCATCAGGAGACAAGGACCTACTAAATATTTATATAATATACACTGTACATTAGTTCTTAAAAAAAAATCATTTATAGTTCAGCATGTTAAGACCTTCAATATTTAATACAGTATAACTAAACTCCACAAAGTATAAATGACAGTATTGTTTTACCATCTGTATTTGCTTAAGCAACTTGGTTATATTACACATCAGATTATTTCTCCACACTTACCCGGCCTGGTCTTGTAAGCTCCTTTAATCTGGTTTACTACAACAGATTTTTCATCTTTGGTCATCCCCCCCACCCCTGCCCTCCCCCAACTCCTGCTTTAATACGTTTCAGCCACATACGCTGCTCTAGTCACTGAATACTTTCATATAAGTAACGAATACTGTAATCAGAGTAATACTGAACTCTCAAAAGAAATAATTCTAAAGGGTTTTTTGAGGGGCCAATTGTTCTGAAATACAACTAACCAATGTTTTAAAGCATAGGCTGAGCAAAACATATGTCTAATACACTCAAATATTATATATATACAGTATATATATATATATATATATATATATATATATATATATATATATATATATATATATATATATATATATATATATATATATATATATATATATATATATATATATATATATACATACATATATATATACATACATATATATATATATATATATATATATATATATATATATATATATATATATATATATATATATATATATATATATATATATATATATATATATATATATATATATATATATATATATATATATATATATATATATATATATATATATATATATATATATATATATATATATATATATATATATATATATATATATATATATATATATATATATATATATATATATATATATATATATATATATAATTAAAACTTGTAATGGACTGTGAATGCTTATTATCTGTTCAGAACCAGATATGATCCTGCTCCTATACATTACACAAAGGTATCCATTAGACCTTTAACAATCGAAGACAATCTACCCGGTAATTAAAAAAAATTCATCAAAAACATCAATATTATTGCCCAATTCACCGAGGAGCCTCAACAAGACTCGCCCATCAGTATACGATAAGGGAGCTGTAGTTACGACCAGTTTAACATACACCTTCTCTGAGTTATTCGTACACGTAACAAGAAACTCGATTCAATTTCATCATAATGGCCTAATGAGTAATGACACCACATTGAGAATGACTCGTCTTCTAGTAGAAAGATCAAGTCCATTCTTGGGTTAATATCATTATCTGTGGAAATTGAGCAAAGTCTAAAAGCATTTGAAATTGCATAATAAATGTACAAAGTTATAAAATTAATATTTCAAGGCAAGTGAAAAATATTGTATGATGCAGGAATATTTTTTTTTTTTTTTTTACGGTGTTCAAACGTGCCAAAGTGTACCGAAACATGATGGATATTCAATAACCATCAAACCAAATCAAAACCTGAAAAACCCAACATTCAATAAACAATAACTAAATCTTTAATAACAAGAGATTCTGAAATGTGATTGGACTGAGGATTCAAATAAAGAAATAAAAATTACACTGTATCAGTACTGTAACATAATTGTTTTCTCTCTAGCTTTCGTTTAGCGAGTTAAAAAAATTAAATACAAAATTGTCAGTCTCATCCTATTGGTACAGGTCTCTCAAAGATCAAGAGAGTGAAGTACGAAATGCTAACAAGGATGAAAATTAAGTGAGAGGGTAATTCTCAAACAGCATAATAAATAACACAATGAAACCTATATGGTGTACGACCAAGTACAAATACTATACATACAATTTCAAAGCAATATCTTTAACAATCTATAGGTTATCAGCAGGATTGCCTCCACATAAGTGTTTCATTTATAACTCCTACAATATCACTGTCTATTCATGTAAAAATAAAAATTCAGCTCATGATGGTACTCACTACATCATGACTAAATTCGGCAGGCTGGTGCGAGGAGTGGATCGACTCCTAGATGCAGTGTAAGCAAGCTCTATTAACAATCACATGAAGTGCTTAACCAATCTGTCAATGAAGTGTATCACAAACCTCCTCTTCCAGCCAAAAAGTTTTAAGATACACTAGATAACTATGAGGTTAGTCAACAATTTATATTTGTATTAACCTCAAGAAAAATCACAAGTGTGAAAAAACACAGCCACTCTGTGTTAAAGCTAATGTTGGATCACTGATACTGATGTTGCCCGAGCAGCTTCTCAGTGAAAATACAAAAAAGATCCTGGAACAGCACTCAAACTAATAAGGACACTCAGAGAAGTCACATCAGTCAATTTTGGTGGTAGACCAATGACAGTAACAAAAAAATCAATATCATTTTGCACATTATCATGAGGCAAAAAGGTTGTGAGACAACCAGTAATAGTACAAAATAAAACGTTACCATTAACAGCAAAAAATAAAAAATATATCATAATAGCATTTTTTTTATTTATCAACAACTTATGAAACTCAATAATATAAAGTGTATCTACCACTACAAGTTGTTTTACTTTTCATACAAAAGATGTCTAAAGTTGCTGTTATAAAATTAATCTGATAGTCTTGCCACAACAAAATTTTACCTATCTGCAGTTTCAATTTACAAAGTGTACTGTTTTTTAATCAGAATAATACACCAACATCCAGGAATTGGTTAATTATTCAACTGCATTGTCCTGTCCTTAATATGGAAAGCATACAACAAACTGGTTAAAAAGTGGTTTTCTGTATTGTCTTGTAAAAGAACAAATCTCTCCTATATACTGTATATATACGTATATATATATATATATATATATATATAAAAAATCTATTGAAAAATAAATTTGTTCAACAGATGTATATAACTAGTCTTGCTCGACATTGCTCAAGTAAAGATGAGGAAGTTTAAATACTTTGGCCCAACATGTCATTACCTGCAGAGCACAGGAACAGTAGAAGACAGTACTACAGTACAGTACCTAGAGAGGGAGAATTGCTTCCAAAATCTAAGGTGACAAGATAAATCAACTATGTTAACACCAAAAGAAAACATGAAATTCTGTTCTATGATCAACAAGATGATTTGACCTATACAACCTTATTGAAATTTGTCTTGGTTAAGAAAAAGGAAGGCATCATACTGTGGAGATGAAAAATTAAGTGTCCCTAACTAGCACTTTAAAAGTGACTGAGAAGTGTTTGAAACACACTGATAAAAGGATATTTGTGAATTTATAACTTACAAAATAAATGGCAGGTAAGGTACACCATAGCATTATATAAGCTTATATATCTCTGGCATCCAATAACGTTGGTGCCCTTAACTGTGCAACATTAACTCTTGAGGCATGGCCTGGGGCCACCACTGCTGCTGACACTTGGTTCAGCACACTGCTGTTTGGCATCAATCACATGCGTCACATCACAGACGGGGGTACAGGCACTTGACTGTGGCTCAGAGCCACCTCTCTCCTTCACACTCGACACCGAGTTCCCACCCGCTGTACCACAGGGGGTAAAACATCCACTGTTTTGGGACCGAGCTAAAACAGCCTTACTGCTGAGGGGTATCGCTATTCCAGCAGTGCTGCTGATCGATATGGATGTACCTACTGTACTGCTGGGGAGGACTGATATACCAGGTGTAGTCACAACAGGTAAGGTTGTACCTGTTGTACTGCCAAGGGCTACGTTAGTACTAGACTTACTGCTTACGGGTACAGTTGTACTAGTTTTACAGCTTGGGGATACGGTTGTTATTTCTGTACTACTTACTGGCAAGATATTACCAGCTGATTTGCTTACAGGTACACCTGTACTTTTAATGGAGGCAGCTGCAATTTCTGTATTAGTCATGGATACAGTGGTATTTGCAGTACTACTTAGAGGTACAGTTGTACTCACCATACTACTTTGGGGTACAGTTGTACTAGCCATACTACTTTGGGGTACAGTACTCACTATACTTTGGGGTACAGTTGTACTAGCCATACTACTTTGGGGTACAGTTGTACTAGCCATACTACTTTGGGGTACAGTACTCACTATACTACTGTGGGGTACAGTACTCGCTATACTGTTTTGGGGTACAGTTGTACTAGCCACACTACTTTGGGGTACAGTTGTACTAGCCACACTGCTCTGGGGTACAGTACTCGCTATACTGCTTTGGGGTACAGTTGTACTCACCATGTTACCTTGGGGTACAGTTGTACTTGCCATACTTCTTTGGGGTACAGTTGTGCTCACCATATTGCTTTGGGGTACAGTTGTATTTGCTGTACTGCCTGGGGGTATAGCTACACTTCCTGTACTGCTCAGGGATTCGCCTAAACTTAATGTGGTACTTTGGGGTACAGTTTTATTTTCTGTACTACTTTGGGTTACTGTCAAATATGATGTACTGCTTTGGGGTACAGATGTACTTGCTATGCTACCTAAGGGTACAGGCATACTTGTTATACTGCTTATGGGTACAGGTGAGCTTGCTGTATCATTTACAGATACAGGCATACTGGCTGTACTGCTTAAAGGTACATAAGGGGTACTGACTAATGGTGTAACTGCCGTGATCATGGGTACAGATGTACAAGGTGTACTACAAGGAGGTGCATTTCTAGCACTTGTTACAGCAGAAGACTTCGTTACAACTGTTGCAGTGTTTACAGCAGCTGTAGTACAACTGGACTGTGTCAAAGCAGAAACACTACTTGTTGATATGGTTACATTGCTACTGCTATGGGTAGTGGGTGAAAATGATGTATTTTCAGTGGGTAATGTTACAGCAGCTGTATTTCTACATGGTGCTGATCCAACACCAGTACCACTGCTGGCTGTAACAGATACAACTGATGCACTACTTTTGGGTGTGTGCCCAGCAGTTACACTAACGGTGGATGTTGACTGTGAAGTCTGTGTCATACTTAAAGGATGTGAGGCAGGATGTACAGTATTTAATGGTAAATTTATAGAAAGTGTAGAACTACCTGGATAAAAGGCCTGTGGAATTGACACAGGACAGGTAGGGACAGAGGGAGCAGAAGTGTTATAAGTTACAAGTGGTAAGGAACTAGACACATTACTCAGAGAAATAGGGAGAGGGGCCGTTGAAGTGCACATTGAAAATGACATAGCTGCAGTTGACACTTCTGGAGCAACTACTGTATTAGCTAGAGGTACCGGTACAGAATTTAAAATACTGTTTGGGTAATGTGAAGAGATGTTTGAGGAAAGTGAGACATGAGTTCCAGGAGGGAGATGCATTTTATTCCCAGAACCACTGGTTATGGGAATATTCAATCCACTTGTTAATAGAGGGGAACTGACCTGGGACACTGGTAGTAATGAAGATGATATAAGAGAACTGGGTAAAGAAGTGGAAATCTCACCTGGCTGACCATGTGTTACATTATCCACCACTCTATTGGCTGTTTCCTCTACACTTTTTGTCTTGTTCTTATTAATGTTTGATATTCTTCCTTCTGTCTGTTGAGAAGACATACCCTGATATCTAGACTGAGATAAATTAGAATAGGAAAGCCTACTATTAACATGTGTTTGCGGTACTGTACACTGGGGAGAGCTCAAGGACCTAGGCGACTGTGGTGAGGTCAGTTTGGGAGAGTGAGGAGTATGTGATGTACTAGACTGTGAGCTGGTGGTAGCTACTGTTTGCATGAGGCACACCCCAGGCTGATTACTGATGACAGCTCTTGGAGACTGAGGCACAGGAGGCTTTGATGAATTCAGTGTATTACAAACAGATTTTGGGGTGACTGAAGTGTGGGAGACTGATGTTTGTACACATGCATTTTGCTTGTAATATGAATTTTGTGGATAAAAAGATGAGGAAGTTGGAGTTACTAATGACTCTGGGATAGATGGTATGAATGAAGACATTTGCTGGGTAACTGGCTGAAATTTTTCAGACTGACCAGGAAATGCAATACAATGAGGTTGTGTAACTAGCATACCAGTATTATTTAATCTAAGAGATTGAGTGACTGCTGGCTGGAGAATAGATAGGGATTTTGGAGACTGAGTTTGAGGTCTTGAGGACTGCCCTGATATTACTGGCTTGGGGGACTGAGGTGTTAAGGGTCTTGATTGATTGGTGTTAGACTGTCGAGGGGACTGTGCTGGATAGGGCCTTGGAGACTGAGATGATGTTGGAGTCCTAGGAGAAGGTGGTGTCATTGGTCTTGGAGACATTGCTTGGGCAGGAACCTGAGACACCAGAGGTACCATGGGAAGAAGACTTGATTGTAAGGGTAATTCGGGCATCATCTTTGCCCCTCCTATATTACGTGGACTAAGAGGTGACCGAGGTGGGAGACACGCAGGGAATGTCGGAATATATGAGGCAGAAGGATGTGAAGGTATAAGGCCAATGGTCTCTGCTCCTTGGTATAAGTAAGGGTAAGCTGGATAGCTCAGGGAGGGATTAGAATAGTAAGGCAAAGGCAGAGTACCAATGGCCCCAGGAAAGGATACCCCACATGAAGGAATTATACTAACACCAACTGTAGGAGAACCAAGAGTAAGATGCTGCTGCGGCTGGAGGCCAGTGTTAGCGACAGTTAGCGAATTAACTGTATCTGCCTTAATGATACCGGTACCAGTAGTCATGGCTGTTGAAGCAGCCAATTTGAGTTGATTCATGAGCGGATTGCTAGCTACAAGGCTTGTCATGGTGTTCCCAACCAGACCAACTGTTCCACCGTTGGTTTTGTTTTCCGACTTCGGGACACTTACCCCGCTAATTTCATGTTTGGAATTACTACCTCTTATCTGTGCACTTGGTAATTTTACATTTCTATTGGTGGTACTACTATTATTGTTGCTTGAAGATCTTCCAACCTTTGCAGTTTTATTATTTTGTAGAGTATTTTTACTGTCTTGTAAAGTATTAGTATTACCAATGACTTTTGAACTATTATTTGTACTTTCCTTTATCCCACTTGATAATGATGTAGGCAATGTGAGAGCAGCTTTGGTACTGGTTACTAAGGTGTCTTCAACTCTTGATAAAGCAGCATGGTTCTCAGCAGTTGATGTACAAGTCTGCATACTGCTCTGGGGTTTTTGGTTAGCAGACTGCAAAGACAATGATCCCAAAGCAGACAATGCAGTCTGATTCATCCCTGGAGTTGTAGCCTGAACGGAAGACACAGAGGAAGTTGAACTTGAGACCGAAGAAGTGGGGCATGTTGGAGGAATCACATCATTATTCACTGGCACTGTTACGGGACCCAACGTTTTGGGGTCAAGTTTGAAAACAACATTACGCTTCTGGGATCCATTGCTGTCACCTGTTCCAGAATACATAGGCTTCACACCAGCAGATGGATTTCCTAAAAATCGTGGAGCATTGCGAGCTTTGAAAAACTTGTTAGTGCGTGGGGGCTCTTTGTTACCCTTGCCAATTGATTTACCTGCTACCAGAGCTAATTGTTCTCGTGATATTGTAGGATTCCAGCTTTTGGGGGGAGTTTTGAGGGTTTTGTAACCATAGGGCTGTGAAGATTTTCTGCATCCACTCCCAGATGATGATTTTGCTCCAGAATCTTGCTTACCTTCCTTCTTTGAATTCAGCCCATTATTAGACTTTTGTTCTCTATTTTTATTATCTTCCCCGTGTGGAATTTTAGACGTGCCAGCCTTAAGATGTGGCTTATTAAGATTGGCCATGCTGGCTGCAGTAAGACTGGCTGGGATGTGACTGGACCGAGAATCCTTAATATTTCCATCTCTCAACTCCTTACCATTCTGTAGTTCCCCTTGTTTTTTTGCATCAGGTCTTCTGTCCAGGCCTTTATCTATACTGTCAGTCAGAGCTTTGTCATTGCAAGCAATGTCTGGACGACTGTTAATATTAGAATTAACATTTGACCTTGCTCCTTTAGTTTCTTTAGAACCAGAACTTTCTGACTTTTGGTTCTGTATGGGGAGAGACTTCATCTCAGAAGACTTAATCTTTTCCCCCTTTTGAAACACTTGATCTTTGTTCACCTTTCCATCTCCCAATTTTCGTAACACTTCACCCAATTTATCTTTTGCCTTGGATTTCTTTGTTCCACTACCAACCTCAAAACTATTTTTTTCTGAAAGTGTTTCCACAGCCCTGGGTACAAAATCTTCACACAAAGAACCACTTTCTATTTTTGACAAGAGTTCACAAGCTTCAGATTCAATAGAGTTCAACATCCCCTCTACAGTAGTGTCCCGACCACGTACACTGATCACTCCTGACTCACTTATTTTCAGCTGCACCTCTTTCCCTTCATCTTCTTCACTTCCTCTGCCCCCCTCCCTATTAATATTTACATCAGCAGGCACTTGAGTACTCTCTCTCACAATTTGGCCTTCTTTAACTGGACTGGTTGTATTCCACTTCTTTATAACACTTGCTTCCCCATCACCTTCTAATTGTCTATTTACATCAGTCTTACACACAACAGGAATATTTGCATTACTAGGAATACAATTCCCAGTCACTGGAACACACCCACTGCTTGGGATTATTGCACAGGGAACACCTGCAGGGCTTATATACCCTAACTCTCCCGGCACAAATGCAACCCCGACACTCACACCATTACTTGGCGTTGTATAAGCTCCAGGATATGTCACAATGGTGTCCACTACACTAGATGCACTTACGGCACTATCCATGCTCATATCACTATCACCAACGGTACCCTGTGTCAATTGAGAAAGTGAATCACATTTCTCCATCATTTGAGAATCCTTTGCACAAGATTTAATTTTTTCCTCTGCCGTTTCTTTCGGTTTTCCAGTTAATACATCTTTATACCCTGGTGCCTCATAAGGTCTCCCAATCACTGCATTTTCACTTTTTGACGTTTCCATCACAGATTTTTTAACAGCGGGTTCTTTCTTAACTAGGGACTCAAAACCAAAATCCTCAACAGCCTGTAAAAGAGGAGCACTACTATAGTCTGACAGGCTATTGGTTAAGTCTGAGGATCCATACATATTATTAGTAACCTCACCACCAACACTTGGCTCCAGCTTTGGCATTTCTTCATTCAAGTTGATCGATTCATAATTGAAGCTGTCCGGATCCAACTTGATCTTCTTGCTGGCTCTTTCATATATTCGGTAAAACAGTTGTAGTGGCTCAGTCTGGAAGAGGTACGTTACATAAATATAAATTAACAAAACAATATTATATATTAGCAAATAATCAGTGATATCCCCGTTAGCCGGAACAATTGGTGCAGAGCACTTCTGGGAATGAGATTTCTGGGTAACGAGATGACTTTCTCAAAGCCGGAAAAATCACTCATCCCCGGAATTTTCCGGGTAACGGAAACATGTTCTTGGAAATTCCAGAAATTGCCCATTATATTGTATCATCTCTCAAACCCCGGTAAAAACTCCCGCATCCCCAGAATATTCCGGGTATCGGGAAAATTTTCTCGGAATTTTCCGGAAAATGTGCCCCTCTGAAAATCATTTCCAAAGCCGGAATTTTCCAAAAAATTCCCGCTCTGGGAACAATTTTCCGAGAAAATTTCAATTCCGGCTATTGGAGAGTTCGGTGTTTGAGGGATTCCGGCTAACAGAAATATTACTGTACCTATACGTACCTACAATATATACATCTTAAAAATTTCTCTCATGATAAAACTATGAGACTGCAGGAAATTTTTTTTTTTTTACTTAAACCTTACACAGTTAAAGTACTTGTATACACAAGTGACTTTATCTGTAACATCATTTGCACATGTAGTATCTCCATGTGTCATTGTATTTCCACTGTAATCTTTCTGTATCTGACAAAATACCCATACATAGCAGTGACAAAGAATTTCATCAAATGCTTCTTTAAAATTCCCTTTCCTCTTTAAATTTCTTACTCAATAAATTTTCAGATGACCAACTCAGGACCTCAGGAATCCATATCAACTAACTAATCACCTGTGTTAGATACAATCTATATCAACAGGTATTTGTTTACTCCATCATTCACAAATAAACCACAACACACCTGGATGTTGAATATTTTTCCCTTTCTTAGTCTTACCACCTTCTTCACTTCAACAGACAACCAATATTCCGATAGCTCAGCTACCACTCCAGCAGTCTTCCTGAATTTACTCAACAAATCTTTATATTCTTGCAACTTTCCTAATCCTCTGAACTTTCATTCATACCTAACAATTATTACTCCCTTTCCTCTAACTTCATCACAATTATACCTTTCAATATGCTTGGGTTTTTCCACAGTACTGTATATGGTTTAGCAAAAGCCATTATAACAAACTCCTTAAATGCTGTTCTCTCTCAATAACGATGTTTCTCTTTATGAAGACTATTCAACAAAGGATGTTTAATAATATTACATCATTTTTCTTAAGCATATCATTAATACCCTCTACTTGACCATTTGTTTTAACCCCCAAGGATAAGTGACCAACAGGAGTGGCTGCTCACCCACACTTTACATACACAGGAAGACACATCATCCACCACAGAGAGAAATCCAAGATGTATCCCACTTTGCCAGACCACCACAGTCTGAATTTAATTATCTTTCTACTCCATCCTTTAACCAAGAGTTAAGCCCTCAAAAATGACAACCCCACCACTAAGTATGAAAGCTGAAATCTATTACATTCATAAACACTTTCATTGCTATTCAGGCATCCTCCATCAACATGTTCAACAAGCAACATAATCATCCTTGTTTTACTTCCTGCTAAAATCCTCCTCTCTTCACTACTATTAATCTTTTCTAGGCAAATAAGTACTTTTCACTGTAAAGTATATATTTCAGAAAAGTCTCATAGTGTTTTGTGAACAGTTTTGACACCAAATGCATGTCTATTGTACTGTGTGTATTATCCCCAAGTTCATATTTTTAACTCTTTAGTTGAACATATTAACTCAAACTTCCTGTTAAAGCTTCTCTTCCACCAGCTTTAATCCATTAACTGTACCTACACTCTCGGCTATGTACACCCCCCCCCCCCCACCAACAGTATCATTGACCATGTGAGTTGATGCGCTTCATGGTTTTGTGAGCAGTCTTAGTCCATAAAATTTCTGAACGGTTGGTACAGTCGACCACATGTACAGAATTTGTGCCTTCCGTTATCTATTGTGTGGATCAAATATTTTGTTACTGACTCATACATGGGAAAATATATCAAAGCATTTCATCCAGCACTTTAAATTGTAAAGACAGAAAAAGTAACAATATTTTTTTAGGGGAACTGTACATCTCTCAATCCACAAACAATAAAAAAATATTAAATGAATAAGATACTCACAGGTAATCTTTAAGGCTAACCTAAATCAAATTCCCCCAAATGATGAAAATATAGCAAGAGATAAAAAATAAATACAAACCCTCTGCCATGATGTGATGTAAGCCACATCAACCAGTGTTAAGGTGTCATGGAGTGGATCATTTGATGAACAAGTAAGAAGAGCCATGGGATGAGACGGGCCAACTCCAAATTTTGCACGTAGTAATCTCTTCAACTGAGCGACACTAACTCCAGCTGGGCATTGGAGGTAACGCACATGACCCTCCGCCAGATTCTGTAATGGCGAAACTCAAGAATTAAAGGATTTAGTCTTTTAAAACTGTACATAACAATCTATTCATTTTCTGTATAGTATTTTATCATTAAATCATACCCTTATGCATTGTCTATATTTTTAACTACAGAGAATTGTATGGAAAAGTTACATCTCTAATAGAGGCATTTATTCTGTATAAAAGGCACTCCCAAGACTAATCAACCCATGGCATATACCCTACCTTCCCTGACTTATAATATTCAGTATCTAGGATTCTTGGTCTAAAAAATTATTTGTGAAATTTCAGCTTAATCTGACAGCTGTTTCAGAATTTCAGAAGTTACACATCAGAAACTTTGGGATCAGACACCAACATTCCTCATTTTCAAAGCTAACTCGGGAATTAATACTCAAATCCTGTACCATAATTTATATACATTTGAATCAGAACAGTACAAGACTTCTAAATACAGGCAGTCCTAGCTCTAAAAAATGGACACATTCCACAGAAGTTTTGCATAGTGAAAATTCATATATAATGAGACAGATTTTCCCATAGATAGTGTTATAAATGGCAGATGTGCTCCAGAAGAATGATCTTCACACACCGTAAGCAACCAAAAATAACCAAAGTAGTAAATACAAAACATCATCACTCCTTAAACCAATACACAATATAAATACTGTATACCCTTATACTGTACAGTATATGCATCTAAAACCGTTCTCATGAAAAAAAGTCAAAGTTTTTCATATATTTCTTGTATAATTCGACCATGGCTTTTTAAAATACTCGGTATAATCCTAGACATAATATGCAGCTGGACGACGGAATCTGTTAACTGTTGCACTACATACGGAAGACGGCACAAAACAGCTGAGACCTCACACTCCCCAGTATGAACTCTTAACACACGAAGAAAGTTTATTCCCTTAACAGTTTTAAGCTTATGATTTTCTGTCTGTAAGATTGTTTGTGCATATAACATATTAAAAAATAAATAAAATACGTGCAGTAAAGTCCCTGGAATCCAGACCAATTAGGAGGGGAAGGCCTGTACGGTTTGACCGAAATTCCAGGTTGAGGTGGTGTACATATTGTTTATACAGTACAATACAATACAGTACTGTATTGCAGGGTGGAGAACTCCAGAGGGTGGGGAATTTCTGAGTCAAACTACCTAGAGCACCAGACCTACTGTAATTTTTAGCTTCAAATAATACTCAATATTTTTTTAGCCGCTTACGTTTTTAACGTGAAAAAAAAAGGGAAATTTTTCCTTGGTCTATCATACACACTCGGCAGCTGTACTCAGCGAGTCATTGAGCAGGTGGTGATGCCGGGAACTCTCATACACCTGGTAGCAGTGTGTATTGTCTCAGCTGCAGGCATGGGGCGATTAAGTTTCAAATTTAACTAGTTCGGTTACGTTAATTTTCATTTTTTCCAGTTAAGTTAACCTAAATTTTTTAACATTAACTAATTAAATTAATTAATTTAAGATTTTTTTTATTAAGTTAACCGGTTTGTTTCAAATTTCCTTTGGGGAATTTTTATGTGAATTAAATAACTTAATATCCTGTAAATGTTTTCCAGAAGAGTCAATGAACACTGTAGTTTGAATACCTGAATAGCCAAACTGAGTCAGGCAGGCTGGTGTACTGTACAGGAAAGTCAACAGTATGGATACTCACTGGGCACAAGGGCTGCTGTGTTATATATTTTTGGTTATTTTCTCTAAGGAGTTAATTGATATTTAATCAAGTTAATCAATTAATTTGCCAAAATTTTGATTAAGTCAAGTTTGGCTGTTATTTAAAAAATTACCGGGTAACTAGTTAAGCTAAGTTAATTTAACTTAATTGTTAACTTGTAGAAGTTAATGGTTAAGTTAATTAATTGCCCCCATGCCTGCTCGGCTGTGACACTTCCATTCACGCCTTGCACCAAAAATACCTTACAGTATTTGATGGCCCATGTCATCAAATTTTGCTGTTTTTATATAAATGTATAATGCATAACCAAACATTTAAATAAATCATTCAGGATTATCGTGGTAAGAAATAGTGTTTCTAACTTAATTAGAACGGATTTTATAAACTCGGGTATAACATTTAACGTTTTTCCATATACTAATAATAATAGTTCCCATCATTATATCATGTCAAAATATTTTATTTAAGGATATTTTATTGAAACAGTCTGTCAAGAATTTATTCAGTATCATTACGGTGCTAAATTCATCTTTCTAACATAATTAGAATAGTTGCTATGGATAAAAGTTTATACACTTTTTTTGCTCGCAGTAAGTATTTTCGCTAGTTACTGCGGCCTTATAATGGGAGATTAATAAGAGAATCATACAAAGTAGAAGAGTGCTTCATATGGTATACATTATTACAGCACTATTATATACCTGTTGATTAAAAATAGAACCACATAGTACATGTTAATAATAAAGTATAGTACAGTAATCATCACAGATATGAAGTAACGACGTATATGGTAAGTTTAAAGACTAAGGCAAACTCACAACTCCCTGTACCTAATTCCCAGCATTCATAAGCCATGCCACCTACCTTTCTTAAGTTATTTAACAACTGTGAAACTTTAAACAACATTTGTATACGATTTAAATAAAAAAGTGCAGCTAAACTCATTAAGGAAAACCTAAATGAAAGTTTAATACAACCACCATTTGCATAGACGCTGGCTGCTTAGCGTCAAATCTCACCATAGCCTCCCCCAACTCCTGAGCAATGGGGCCCCCCCACACTCCACTCCTTCCTCTCACTCCCCTGCTCAGCCTGCTAACTCTTGCATGCAAAGAAATGTTTACCGGTATTCCCTTTATGTGTTTGACCTTATGATAATTATTTATTTTACTTTTTTTGCACAATATGTATTACCACCACAACCATCACACCCCATACTAGTTGTAATTAAAATTTCCACTTATTCAAGATCAAACACAGAAGGATGTACCTATATACTATACCATTGTACAGTACAGATAAAAAAGGGTATTCTTTCTTTCATAGTATAAATAAAAATGAACACTGAATTTAGTGAAAGCTTATCAAAAGCGTGATCCACTTCACCTCCACAACATATTGCAGGGCGGAAAATTCAAGTGGGTGGGGGGAGGATTTCCAAGTCAAGCTGCCAAGGAACAGAGAACCTGCAGTAATTTTTAGCCTAAAGCTTATCACTCGTCCCCAGTGAGTTTGAGGAGTAAGTTATATGGTGACTGTAGAACAATAATGGCACACTTAAAGCTTATTTATAGTCTTGATAACATTGTGAGGGTAAGAGAATAGTGATATATGTTAAAGAAATAAGCATTATTTTAGCATATTTTCATTATTACTTCGGAAAACATTATGAAAATAAGGAAGAAAAATATCATAACTTCCAGTCTTTCGTTTGTAGGTCAAATCAAAGGACAAAAATATATTCTTCGTAACTCTGAATTTTCATAAACCGAACCTTCGTAAGTCTAAGGCAGCATCAACTTGTTTTAGATCCTCTTTTCAGCCTTGATCCAACATTAAAACAACTCCTCTTACTTTGTTTACTTGGTGAATTATCTGATCTCTTGTCTGGAGGCTGGTGGTGAGGCAACTGTTAACTGAAGTCACTGGCATCACATGACTTTTGTAACACGTCGGGGAGGAGGAGGATGATGCAGGATGTAAAGCCAGAGACACTGGGTCATCCGGCAGTATGTACCACCTCCCGATGTCACTTCCTCCATCTTCCGGTGTTGCTGGGGGTGTCTCCGGGTGACACGAGTAGAAATCTCGCCGCTTACACATTTCATCTGCAAAATAAACTCCATGGTAATCTTTACTCAACATATAAATTTTTTTTCAGCAGAACATATAACAGTACTTTTTTAACCAGTCATATCAGTGTGATTATATCCCAATAATAGTCATTGACAAGAACCTTGAAGTTGAAAGTAGACTCATACTCCCCTGTACATTATAATATAAAAAAAAATTAATTTAAAGGATGCACAAAAACATTTACAGTATAATGGCTGGGATAATCTTGTTTCATAAGAACAGATATGTACCGTAAGCAAACACAAGTACACTCAAACAATGCTGAGCTAAATAAGTATTGTACATGAATAAACTTATCTCCAATAGTGAGTAAAATAGACAAACATAGGCTCCAGGCACAGCTTAATCTAATAATGTCAAATTAAAAGGCTTTGGTAGGCAAAAGTTGTCTATCAGAGAAATCAATATTTCTGGTGAGATTCCCTTTACCAGGCAGCTCTCCTTAGTGCACCAGCTGGTCTAGGGGTCTACAGTAGGATAGTAGACTGCCTCCTATTTGGCAGCTGAGAGTTTGACATTATTAATCACCCATCCCTTCCCATCTCAAGCTGTCTCCCTCAAATAGGGTTGAATGGAAAAAATAGACAGATACCCTGTAGAGGCAGAAGGTCTAATTTGAACTATCTCTACCTATCCAGGATACACTTGGCTACAATCCTGATTTCAGAGTCAATCAACCCCTATGGTTCAGTCCCTTAGTGACATCCAAAAACGGCAAATGCTTTTCTCCAGCTCAGAATCACCACACCCCAAACTTGTGACACGTTTATGAGCAGTTGGAGAGATCTCTCACATTTCTTGGTATTCTCTTTAAGGCAGAAGAGAATTTACCTTCATTCACATAAATTTGCAAAATATCTGCCTCACCATCATAATACATTCCTCACCTCTGAGTAATAATAGTGTATGGTAACATTATGAGAAAGGAAGAAATTTAAAGGTAACTGACAATCTATAAAAATTATAGAAATTGAAGCACAAAGACTGCATAACAAGACAACTAAACAAAATGCTAGAAAAATATAGTACAGCACTCATATGCTACTCACAGAATTTCAAGCTATAGTACAGTACACTTAAGTACATTAAACTTACTCTGGTACAAGCCAGGGACCAGCTTGTATACAATGTCTTGAAGCGTTTTGTCTGGTCGGATGCTGAGTAGCGGTTTTGTCTTGTGCACTTGAACATCGCATATTGGACAGAATTTGCTAGACTCTAAGTAACGCACAATACAGGTCTTGCAAACTGAAAAGCATATAAAACAAATATATTACAGTACCCCATTAATTCAGAATTTCAGATAATTCAGACACAACCATAATGTCAGAAAGTACTTCAAACTTAGTCAGAATTAAAATCATAAGTCTTGACATCTCACACATGTATACATACTGCTTGTACATTTACCATACACATACTGTATACAAGAGCAGCATGTGGAAGTGAAGTTTTGAGAAATTAACTTATACACAAGCACACATGCATGCATACACACATACAGACATATATTTCTTCTGCTATGCAAGTTCAGTACAGTACTTCAGCTCACTCTAATTGTGTAAACCTCTCTAATGTTTTAGTGTCAAAGCTGCTGGGCAAGGGAGGCCGCTACTGATTGATTAACCCCTTCACTAAAGGATGCCACTTTTAGTACTTCATTTGGCTAACACCAGATGATTTTATTAAGCTCAGAGCTTCATTGTTTTGTAGTGTAATATACAGTACACCTCATACGATGTTAGTTTCATACTTACAGGAATGGAGGCACTCGACGATGGTGGTAGCGTCTACATAATATCCTCCACATAAAATGCAGAGGAGGTTCGGATGAAGCTCCGTTACGCGGAGCCGACGCAGCCCACTCATCCCGCAACCTGGATATATATAAAAAAAAGTCAATCACACACAAAAAAGTAAATAATATTTCCAAAGATAATCACAAAATACTCAAAGAGCCTAAGTTTTCTGTAAGCAGCAAACACAGAACAGGTATTCAAAAATTCATTATACAGTATACTGCATGGTATTGTAAATGACAAAAATGGCCAACCTAGTATTAGACCACATTTACCAATACTATACTGTACTATATTAAGCTATTTTTTTCACAGAGCAACATCTGCTGAACAAAATTAAATCATGTCAATTTCAATTAAAATGTGTCCCAGTTCACATAAATAAACGAGTTAACAGTTCAAAACAGTTTTTCAACTTTTAATTCTTTATGAAAATTAAACAATTATTATGAAGAAAATCAAGTACCATACAGTTTTGTACTTGAGTGAACCATCAGTTGAGAATAAGGTTTGATTTTGTAGTATTGTACAATATTACTATTACAAAAATCATTCTCTACTAAAGTCACCAGTAATTAATAAACAAAAAATAAAAGCATGTTCCTTGAACCCTAAAATTCTTTTATTACTCCAATAACAAATTTGTTTTTACCCTTTACATCAATTGCAGTAGCTACCACAATCTGCATTTTGACAGTGACCAATGATTACCACAGGGTTCGCATTTTTGTTTTGTGTGCCATCAAAAGGGGACAGTAATGAAGTACTGTAAAGCTACTGTACTTCATCACTCATCTCAAAAGAATTTTTTAAAGTAAGTCAATAGAAAATTACCTTTCTTCTTGGTAGCTACTCTTACTTGAATAACATTTCAGACAACCCTGTACTGGTACAGTACGCCTACCTCGTACCTATTTTTAGGAGCCTCTTGTTACTTTATCCTGCGCACCTCAGCAGTGTGTACTGGAGATATTTTCCCAGACAATCAAAACTGTGAGGAGACGATATGCTTCCATCCAAACCATAACTCAGCATTGAGCACATGCTTTTCCCAACCATTCAAAAATTTTGACTGCCATGCTGTACAGTATGTTTAATCTTAACAAGAAGATACTATTGTACTGATAAATATATACTGTACTGTACATATGTCTGGAAGTACTAAATAATTGGTTTCTGCTAAAATAAAAAATTCAATAGTGACAGGTTTTGTTAACTCACTGAAGCACCACAGAGGCCACAGCTTAACTGCCAAATCCCAAGTGAATAACAAAGAGAAAGAAAAAATCCTTGTTCCCCATTGGATTTAGTTACTCTTCATGAAAACAAACATTTCAATGAAAAACCACAAAGAAAGCAAGCCATTATTATTAAGTCCAAAGTTTCATTCTAGAGGTTTAACAATTTTTTACTATACCAAATAAAAATTTCATCCCTTTACACTGAATACAAGAGAACAATGATAATTCAAAGCTCAAACTTCCACAACTTTGGGTGTGGTTCAGATATCAAAATAATTCAGTTACCAAATTTGTATTATTCCTGGTACCATATATAACTTAAATCTTTTGAAAACGGTGTAGTTATGAGTTATTTATACCAAACAGCTATTCCTCAAAATCATTTATGGGCTAACTTACAGGAATATTTGTTCACAAAATGAACTAATCTGACCTAACCTAGTCATAATTTTCTTATAAATAAAAATTATATTAAAAACAACTGATGCAACATCCCAAATGAGCCAGATGTAAACAAAGGAATGTGTTGTCAATTTGGGAAAGTTTTGGAAAACATTAATCACAACTCTATATTAATTTATATATAGATAGATGGAGCAAAGAAAAACAAACTATAATGTCTGTCAAAAACTTATATTTTTCAAGTTTTCTTATTTTTCCTTTTCACTTAAAAATTTAACTTTTATCACACAAAGTGAGAAACAAACCTAACTATAAAAAAAACATTAAATTGGGTACACTAATATTTAAGAACAGGTGACCAGGTTAAGGAGACGGATTAGGAAAGTTTTCAATAGAAGAAAAATCTTCAATTTATCAAGAACATCCAAAAATTGACAGAGAAAAAGTTTGCCTGACAAAAAGATCATCAAGAACATAACTTAATGACTCAAATACTAGTAGTATACTTGTCTAACATAACCGAACTTAACCAAACCAAAGAAAAAAAGGACCTGATTTAATCTCACTGTGTATAAACCTAACCCAACAAGACAAAAGAAAACAAAACAAAAAAACAACTGAATCTAAAGAACCAAACCTGAAATTTAAGTTAAATGGTATAAAGTGTTCTTATTTTTTGTTTGCTATACCTCCCTATATATAAACCAATATAGTGTTTTATGGTTGACCTTTTCCGAAACTTAACTTTCAATTTTATGCCCATTAAAAACAACATGACCCAGATTTTCATTCACTACAACAAAAACAAATACCTCTAACATAAGAAAGTGGCGACCTTTACTGTTACCATGAAAACCTTCCAACATCTGACACAAAGCCACTTAACAAGCTTCAACACTTTACATAACACCATCACCTTTAAAACATCATCAGAAACACAAGTTATTAATGATCTTTGTTTTAATAAGTAGAACACAAGATGCCAATGACTATATTTTCATACTTGACCTAAATTCATTCCTATGCAAAAGTTGTGCACCATACTTATATCATATTGTTCTAGTGTGTTAAAAAATGTAATAATTCGTCATAAGGTTTGATTAATTTACTCGTGACTGACCTCTAGTGTGGTTCAAAATGATAACATGGTTGACTTCTAAAATACAATCATTGCCAGCTAGTAAATAGTAAATTGGTTAAAAAGTTTTATATGTGCATCTTGTTTAGGTGTAATTATTTGATTAATAAAATAGAAATAGATCTAAAAATGGGTCTTTTAGGTCGATAATCCTAGCATCCTACACTCTAATACAAACCAACTGTCATTTGAAAAGCTGTCAGTATTTGATTCCTTACTGAAGTGAAACCTCTTCAAGGTCAAACATTTCTTAGTTCCCCACGAAGTTATGCACTGAAACATTTTTTTGTCTATTAATTCAATTCATTCAGATGTCATTACATGCAAGGGTTATGAATTATGACACGAGGAAAAAACTTTCAGCTCAACACTTTCATATTCAAATCTGTGGCAACTCCTTTTCCTGTTACATCTAACGTCATTTCTGAACTAGTTTCAATTCTACCTCCATATAAGTAGAAGATCTTGTGCGAATGTATATCACGGTCACTTTCACTGTAATGGTGATAAATGCAGCTATTAATGCATTCCGTCAATACGCATTTTGCAACGAACATGGCTGAATGCACCTGGCACTAAGCTCATTCTCACAAAAACATTCTCCTCATTTCACTTGTCATTGAATAATTCCTCCTGAATAACAACTTGGGTGGCACTTGCTCACCTGTATCATTTCTTGGTTACATAATGAGGGTGTTTTGAGGCGACTAGGGGAGCTGGGCGGCCATAAAAAGGGTAGAGCCGTCAACAAGTGTCGCACTCCACCCCCGCCATGTTTGTTGCTCACTGACGGTCGGAGGCGCAGCTTTACAATCTTCCCTCCAGCCCCTCCATCAAGGTCCTTCTTACCATCTTTTTCTTGATTTCTCCATTATTATCTTCCTCTATCTCTTTATCTTTCTCACTTAGATATGCTCTTTAAAGCTTTCCTATCACCAATTATGGATTTATTGTTTATATCCTTCCTTGTGCCTTTATTATGTAGACAGGTTTTTTTTTTTCATCAACACTCGCAGGAAATGACAGCATTCATTATTGTTATTCACTCAGTACGGTTGTGATTGCATTAATTACATAGTAGTTTGTTCTGTGGTCAATGATATCCGTTGTTAATATCTTGAAATATATGCAAATACGAGGATTAAACCTAATTATTATGGAAATTATAAGTTTACAGCAAAAGATGATGAGATGTTTGTGTGTGTGGGTGTGTACATGAGTGTGCTTTAGTATTTGATATAGCAATTTTTCTGTAATGGATGAATCTTCAAACTATCTTCGACATGTAAGAGCACGAATTTTATTTTTTCCTCCTATAGTTAATCTGGCATTGAACGTAATTACTATGATTACTATTATTTATTATCATGATTATCTTAACAGCTTGCTCACGTTAATGAACCAGCTGAGAAAACGGTCTATGAATTAATACCTGTTACACATAATTCATTGCCTGACGGCGCGTTAAGAATAGTGCAAATACAACACATAATTATAATCAGACTTTATGTGAGGCACTGCACTCGACCTCCTTCGCTTCCCAACTGTAAAGGTAGGTATCCATTTACAGCCGGTGCCCTGGGTACCAGCAATCATGAGATCAGGAAGCAAGCCTGCCCAGTTTACTTTGTGTTTTCTAACATTTTTACAGTTTTTATTCATTTTTATTTTCATACTGGATCGCTGCTCTTCTGTTTCTTTATTTTCCACCTTTAACTTCAGATTCCAAATTTCTTAGGGTCCCTCAAATGTACTAGTAATCGATTTGTAGTACAATATAAGCTAAATGCTGAAAAGAGTGCAATTATCCGCGGTCTGTGTCCTTGTTCGGGCGCCAATTGTCATGGTTTGGGGATCGTAGTGGTGTACTGAGTGGATTATATTATATAAAGATTATAATATGTTGTGTTTCTTATATTTCTTACCGTAGAATTCGATACCTTCACACTGGTTACTTACAGGAGATTATGGTGTATCTACGTATAAGTTCACTCCACCACTCGACATTCAATGATTTATACTAGATAAATGATGATTTAATGAATTCCATTAATTTCCAACATCCATCTAAGTTATTGGTTATACTTTGTCATAACCAATCAGTCATTACCTTTAGTAATAATAAGATAGGATCACAGATACGGGCAGATAATTGCACTTACATTTATTTGTCAAGCTTCCATACAATGATTTACAATTTGCATGGATACATGAGTCACTCACGTTCACGCTGTATTACAATTAATCTTCTAAAAGAGGGAATTATCAACTTGGGAACACGTGTGACTACTCTACTATGGGTATAACTTAACAGAGCCTTAATTCTTCAAGTGATACATTTACTGTCAGCCTGGATTGTTTTTGTTGCAACCAGGCTTCCGCACAAGAACTTCTTTCCACGGGGAATAACAACAAAAAGTACTCTTGGGTTACCATACATAGTCTCGCGTCACTGACAGTCACTGTAGACGGTTGTTACAGCAAGGAGAACTAGTAAGCGTGACTTGTTTAACCACATAGGTGCAATAAACCACCCTGGATTGCTTTTGTCGCAACCAGGCTTCCACACGTGATATCTCCACGGGGATAACAAACCTAGGTTAACACACTTGTCTCGTGTCGATCACGGTCACTGTAGACGGGTGCCGTGCAGGAGAACTCTAAGAGTGAATTGATTAACCATTTACTGTAGGTTTGATAGGCCAGCCTGGATTGCTCTTGTTGCAACCAGGCATCCACACGTGATATTTCCACGGGGATAACAACCTAGGTTAACACGCTTAGTCTCTGTCGACGACGGTCCACAGGACGGAGTGGCGGTGGAGGACTCTGTGTGGTGTCTCGCTCCCTTCAGGAGGGAGAGGATGGGGACGACGTCTTAACTTACCCATGGCCTAGGAGATACTACTTAAAATGGGGTTTTGGAGCGTGAGGCGATGAACAGTACAACACTGTCTCACTGGCCTGCCCCTATAGGCTGGCTAACATACCACTAATGGAAAACATGTGTAGCAGTTACGGCTCCCCTGGTCCCTTATTTACAGTAAACAAACATCTGAGATGGGTTGCGCAGGGTAGACCCAACGTAACACATGACACAACTATTGTCTAAGTACTGTATTGATATTTTTTGTAACTCCTGTATAATATGGTCACGAAGTAGAACCTTAAGCTGTGTATTCTTATATTACTCTATTAATTATGTCATATTATACAACACTTACTATATTTACAGTACCTGCTTTTATTGTACCATCAAAACCGTTTTATCGGAAATTATCATGTAAATAGATAACTAATTACCATTGCAATAAACATATTTGCCAACTAGTCATAATCCTGACAGCTCTGTCCTCTTGTTCAACCTAATTACTGTACAACCCATGTTGTACTGCTCCCCCATTCTACTTATGTTTTTCAATTCCACTGTAATTTATGTATAAAAAAAATTAAATAAATAAATATTGAAGTGATAACCGTGGTAACATTATGAGATGTTCTTATTACCACCATGCTATTGTACTATTCCAGATGATACTAAATGTTACATAGTACTTCCTTGAGATAAATGTATAGTATTGTAGTGGAATTCTCCCCTACAAACGCTGTTTGTCGCTGCCTAGCCGACCCCACCAATTCCCAAGTGTATGCCTCGTGGTCTAGGTCAACCAGCGCCGCCATACACCACGGAGCGGGGGTCAACTGCTAAGCCACGCCTACCCCCGCTATTTAAGACCTGACCTCGTGGTGATCTCTCTCTCTACCTACACCAACCAGCCAGCAACACCTCCGCCTGCCTGGCGGTCCTCTCTCCCGCTGGCGAGCATGGCGACCCACAAGCTGTCCTTCTCTGAGCGTCCTCACCAACCAGCTCTCTCTACATCACGCTTGTAACCATGCTGCCTTCCCAGCACCAAGCTGCATTGTACATCCAATACAACATGTATATAGAGAGCACATTGTGAGTTTCCTTTCTCCATCCCATCCTGAGTGTGAACCAAACAATCTCATACCCCACAGTATATATCAGGTGCCCAAAAGAGAGCTCAGGTTCTCAACTGGCTCAGCCATGTTAATATTGTTATTATTATCCATTCTGTATCTGTGTTTTTCTGGCTAAATAAACTGTTTCAATTCAATTCACTATTTTCACCTTGTTTATTAGAGGTGTGGTCATGCCGACAGAAGGAGGCCAGTGGCCTGTGTAGGATTCCTCCGTTGTTTTGATAACTTTGTCAAGGGCTATTGTGAAGCCCAGTTTTGTTCTCCAGTCCACACCTTGTGCTGGTAGATCTACCGCCCTCTGTGTGAAGAAATAAAATTCATTTCGTCTGATACAAATTTCTCTATTTCAACAAACTTATTCGCTTAATTATTGCGAATACTGCGCTCAGTGGTGATCTTTAGCCAATGGACATTTGTCAGGGTAAAAACGGAGTTTGCCCTGACTTTGTATCTGACCACTTCTAAAAGTTAAGAACCATCTGAGGTTGAATTACGTCTTGGCGAGACCGAAAGTTGCAAAAAAATAAAGGTATCTATTAGACTACTGTACCACCACACACTACGATAAAAGTATTGTGGGGTACGAGATGTTGGTTCATACTCAGGATGGGGTGGAGAAAGGAAACTCACAATGTGCTCTCTGTATACATATTGTATTGAATGTACAGTGCAGCTTGGTGCTGGGAAGTGGCAGCGTGGTTACAAGCGTGATGTAGAGAGAGCTGGTTGGTGAGGATGCTCAGAGGAGGACCAGCTTGTGGGTCGCCATGCTCGCCGGCTGGAGCGAGGGCCGCCAGGCAGGAGTGGAGGAGGTGGTGTTACTTGAAGACTGGCTGTAGGTAAAAAGAGGGGTAGGTCACCACGAGATCAGGTCTTATATAGCGGAGGTAGGCGTGGCTTAATAGTTGACCTCCGTCATGTAAGGCGGCGCTGGTTGACCTAGACCACGAGGCATACACTGGGGAATTCGCGGGGTCGGCTACTCGGCGACAAACAGCGTTTGTAGGGGAGGAATCCACTACAGTATCTCCCACTTCACACTATACGAAAGCCTCATCACGACATAGCAAGTAGTACCTTCAGTCTTCACTCCACAAAAGAGGAAGTATTTTTACTACACATTTCAGAAAAGGATTTACATTATGCCTTGCAAAAGTATCCCAATACTATAACTCTGAAGTCTTTAGAATTAAAAAAGGTCTTTATAAAAACCGATTTCTTCACTCAGGTATAGAAGATTTATTATTGATAATTACTTATTCTCGCTGAACCAAGCGTCACGAGCTAAGACCTGAGAGAGCAAGAGCCAATGAAATTTCCGACTTCTCTTCCTTTTATTTTTTTTGTTGTGTTAAGGGGACAAATAATTATCTTTTACTGCAAAATAATAATCATTGTGTTGCCATGAGAAATTATTCCTAGATATCTAAAATTTGATGTCAATAACCTACTGACTATATATAAATTTTCACTGAATAATCTGGGCTTATCATGCAATATCATGTAAGGTTTAATGGACTTCAAGTGTTTTTGTTTTTTTCCAGCCACTTGGAAACTCCACCGTTGCGAAGGACTTGTCAGTTGTCAAGGGACTTTCAGTTCAGTCGGTGGCTCACGCTGCTCTGCCGTGAGCATCACACCACCACAAATATGGCTCGGTTGCCAACTAATCCTAATACAATACATTAAAAGTTTTACACCTTTTACCCTATAAAACAGAATATGGCTCTCACATAATGTTTTAACAACCAAAACTAAATAACACATATAAAAAAGCATCGTAAATCAAAACATTAGAAAACTTATATAAGCAAACAGGCCGTGAAACACCCTCATTGACATTGGTCGTTTTCGGGTATCACCTAATTAGCCAATCATAGACAGCGGCGGGGCCGACATGTATAATGGACTTCAAGTGTTGTTGTTTTTTGTTTGTTTTTTATTTTCCAGCCACTTGGAAACGCCACCGTTGCGGAGGATAAAAAAAATAACATTGGGTGAACTATCCTATCGGAGTCCTTGAATTGCTACAGTTCAATCCCTGCAACCAAAGAAAACGTACCATAACTTGAAGAGTGGGAGGCAATTCAAGTAGGTCTCATAAACGACACCTACACAGAAGACAGCGTTAAGGGAGGCAAATGGTAAGAAACGGGTGAGTCACGAATGAGGGTTAAAATACATGGATTTGATTAATACACGTTACGTGTTACCTGGCGTAACTGCGATCTCAAAACACTCGTAAAATTGCAGCAGGAAAAACGGCTATCGTCCTCACACATATCACTGCCATACATGTCTTCGCCATCCACCTGTTCTTCACTTGGTAGTTCTTCCAGCTGTTTTGGGATATGTTCTTCGGACAATCCCGCTTAAGTCATTGCTATTACACACACACACACACACACATATATATATATATATATATATATATATATATATATATATATATATATATATATATATATATATATATATATATATATATATATATATATATATATATATATATATATATACGCCACCGTGCGTAAAAATAGTCGCACAAAATGGTTCACTGGCTCAGAATGACCCACACAGCCATATGTCACGAAGAACAATGCGGAACCACGTCTGATACAACCACACTCTGCCGAGTCTGGCCAAACACTGAAATTACAGGGATGGGAAACGTTAGAGAAGGTTACTTTAGGAAATTGGGGAAGCTGCAGCTGAGGCTTGGCGGGTAACACAACTCCCCGTGGTACCACATGTACGGGCCAATCTGACCCGGCCGGTATAACCTATTTTGAAACGTTTTGTTAGACACTTGCTTAGATGGTTAGGGTAAATACCCTGTCTATGACCACTGTAATGTTAACCGGTGACCGTAGTAGTGCTGCGGGGTATGAGATGTTTGTGTTCACACTCAGGATGGAATGGAGAAAGGAAACTCACAATGTGCTCTCTGTATACATAATGTATTGGATGTACAATGCAGCTTGGTGCTGGGAAGGCAGCATGGTTACAAGCGTGACGTAGAGAGAGCTGGTTGGTGAGGATGCTCAGAGGAGGACAGCTTGTGGGTCGCCATGCTCGCCGGCGGGAGCGAGGACCGCCAGGCAGGCGGAGGAGGAGGAGGTGTTGCTGGCTGGTTGGTGTAGGTAGAAAGAGAGAGATCACCACGAGGTCAGGTCTTTTATAGCGGAGGTAGGCGTGGGTAGATAGTTGAACCCCCGCTCCGTGGGCGGCGCTGGTTGACCTAGACCACGAGGCATACACTGGGGAATTCGTGGGGTCGGCTACGCGACAAACAGCGTTTGTAGGGGAGAAATCCACTATAGTGCAGCTCCCTATGGCGGATATTTAGAACACTTTTTATTAGACTCCAGAAGAAGTCTTATGCTTCAATGCTCATTAACACTTATAAGTTATAACTTATAAATGACGAGAAAGTAGATATGTTTAACTGAATGGAAATAGAACTCCCCCCATTATGCGTTTGTGTATAATATATGTATAGCTCATATGTGTGCGTGTGTGTTTTGTGCGCTTGTTCCATAGAGGATACTGGTCAACAGACTCAACAGCATCCATCAGTTGACCTCTGTTACAAGACGAATATTGACCGTTTGTATATATATCCTTGTCCTGGTGTCTGTATCTGTAGTGCTTTTATATCTATAGATAGTTATTGTTGATAGGGACTGCCTGACTGGGGGCGTCAATCAGAAATGGAGGATTGGTTCTGAAATCCATTGTTGTGGGCGATTCCACTAACCTAACCAAAGGGATGGGAAACGACTTTATGGGTGGTTCAGGCATCCTCCCTCTTCGTTTAGGCTCGTAGGAATAGTCCCGCAACAATCGTCGTAGGACTCTCGTGTGTAGATAGCGACACCTGGCATTTATCATAATGATGTTTACTATAAATAATGAATTTGGGGTTTAATACATTCTTTTCTTTTACTTTAAATTTTATTGTCTTTTTATCCATTTATTTTTAAGTTCATTCCTTAATCTCATAAGAAATTTGTATTAGCAATGAGTGATTTTGTCATCCGTAGGTCTTAGAAAAATATATATCAGTATGAGAGAATTTGAGTGAAAAGAGGTGTCGCATAGGGTGACGATCTGAAATAAAAATAATACCTGTACATTAGTAGGATAAGGACGCAACAGTTGATGAAGAAATAGTGGTATATATCACAGGGAAAAAAATGAGGAATTAATGTTGGAAAGGTGAACCAAACTTCTTTTATGGTGTGAAAGTTGAGCTCTTTGGATGTTGGTGGTATGGTAGTGGTAGCATATTTACCTCTCACCATGTAAATTACACTGACATACCATATCCTATTGCTTTTAAAGGTAATAATAATACTCTTATACAGTATTGCTAAATTCATTCATAAATTAATGCCATTACGTCACACCAAATTTTACCTGTTGTAATAATACTGTAGCTAATTTATGCTGTTGTTCGGTTTTGCCAATTCATCACAATCTCGTAATGTCATACCAGGGCCCCAATCATTATTAGCTTCTTTATTTACCAGGTATTTTCCTATATTAATTTTTGCTTAAACTTGGATTTTTGTTTTTTTACACGGTACCTACACTACCTGGGTGCTGTGGTTGAATGAATACAATGTTTATCTCCCGTCCTAAGGGTTACTAATTCATGCCGTCTACCCAGCTGTCATTGAGATTACTTTTCACTTGCAGTAACAACTTAAAAAAAATTAGTGATTAGGGCTTTTAAGACATTAATTCAATTGCACTCTAACAAATTGTAGCTGGACTGAGGAAGAATAAATAACAAGAATGTATATAGGTACAAAACATTTTATTAATGAATCACAGTTATCATGTTCCTCTACCACCACTGTTTCTCTTCAACCCTTAAGGAGCCAAGCAGGGTCACCACACTGTACAATACACACACACCCCTGACTTAGGTCATTAATACAAGCAAATAATATTGCGTATTCAGTACATTATTACAGTGAAAAAATTCTATATTGACTTTTTTTCATATAAAATCATGTATGGTGGTATTTTTGTGGAGAAACTTAGCACAAAAAACACGTAGGAAATGGAAACTTAATGAGAGTTAACACTTATGAAATGTTATCGAAATTCTAATTTGATCTTTGGATATAATACAAAATAATACAAAAAGGAATTCTTGAAGATACATAAAAATACTTAAAACAGACCTATAAAGGGACTTCATAGTATACTGTAATAAGAGCGATCATGAAAAACATTGGTGAAAAATTTCATGTATGGCATTGATATAAAATTACCTGTACATATGAAGAATTTTAACAGGGAGAAATAACTTTGACATAATATAATCACCATTGCAAAAAGAAATGTTGTACAGTATTGTTCTGAATTTTACACTGCATTATAAAAAAGACATCTTGTATCTAAGGCGGAGGATTCACTAAAGTCTACCAAAGGCTTTTCCTCGTACTAAAAAACACTAACACAAGTACAGTGTATATATGTAGGTAAATAAATTACACACATGGCTTACAATACATATATACAAAATACATCCCAAACTGAAAATCTAGTTTACTTTGTAGAAAAAAATTACAATTCATAATTTTCTGAACTCTAATCAGAATCATATTAAAAATCTTTACACCATGGGGTTCAAAGAGCAATCCTAGGACTCTGAAATCCTTCACTTCAGGAGAGAAGTTGTATATGGTGAATCTTTTCATATAAATTTCTATAATGAAAGATTAACTTCCCAAATGAACTTTTCAATGATTATTAATAATTCTTAATATAACACCCTGCACAGCTAAAGACCACAGCTTATATACATCTCTGTTAATGATAAAGATGGAGGATGCCATAAGGTATAGTCTAGCCTACAATCAATACCGAGTTACAATATGAACCAAAGCTAGAAAGCAACAAAAGCAGACCAGTGTTTCGTTGTAAATGAGGTTTTTTTTTTTACACTGCCCTTCAGAAGCACTCGCCAGCATTTTCCATAAACTCACTCCCATGAAGGTGAATCAAAGATCTTTCTCTTATGACGAAAGCATTAAGCTAAAAGCTATAAAATTCTTGGTATATCTCATATGAAAATTGCTTAAAACAATTACACAACACAGATTGTTACACATTTGCCAACTGTTTGAGAGCAAATTTGTTTTTCATTACTGTATACAGTAGACCCATACATTCCATAAAATCCACATCTTATAAGTATATAGTGAATGTACACAATACATTCCACTGTAACTCATAAAAGCTACAGTGTTCCTGTAGATTAAACATTACTGATGTGAAATGAGAAGGGTTTGTATAAAAATTGGTCTTGCAGAATAATATGTTATCATTGTATGTAATTAATCTCTGTAGCTTCCCAAAAGTGAGTATACTGTATAAAGGTAAATATGTATACACCTAAACACAACATATAATAATAGAACACAAAACACTTGTTCTTATCTGTACACAATGTCATAATATATTGGAAAGGAATCAGCATCCTCAATTTTACTGTAGCCTATTGAGATTGGTTAACTTCAAAGTCAATACGACATTGTTTTAATAGAAATTTCTGAGCGGGTTGATGTTAGTTAGATGAGGGGCAGCAGCTTTGAATCTCTAAGTTTGATGAAGGACTGAGCAAAACTTGAAGCACTAAGTAAATAACATTAAAGTTAGATAAGAGGCAGGTCATTATTCTCAATTGTAGTGAAGGTTTTATTGTCCCTGTCAGTGTAGAGAACTGTCTGGTGTTGGAACTCCATGGTCTGAAAGGTCGTGGCAGCTACATCCAGGGTATTGGTAGCAGTGAGGTCAGAGTAGTATTCCACGGTGGTGTTTAGCACTGTGGCAAACTCTGCTGTTGATGTATCGATCGTCTGGTTGTTCATAGTAGTGGTGTGCCTATCCTGATACTCCACTTTGTATGATGGCCACAGTGGTTCCAGGGTGTTCATCACAATCTGTGGGGTGAGAGTAGAGTGTCTTGGTACAGTAAACTAATTATCCACACAACAGGAAAGCAAAGTCAATTAGGGTCAATGGTAATGCTAAAGGAGATAGTTCAAGCAAGTCTTCTTTTATGAAACTGTACTCGGTGAAGGGAAAGGTCAGGCAGGATCAGTTCAAACCTGTCGGAAAAAATTAGTCAAACATGGTTGTTGCTGATATGCTATAAAAAAGGATAAACCAGCATCTGAACAAATACTACATATTAAGGGAATTACTATAAAAAGATTAAAATTTCACCTCTTGAAAGGATACAAGCTAACAGAGACAAGAGCTCGGAAAGTTTACATATAAGCAGTACAGGTAATACATTCGAGTTTGGCGAATTATCCTATCGTACAGTATCTCTCACAGCCAACCAGGTGCAAATGAATTACGGTAAAAGACATTATTCTTGCATTTTTTTACGGTTTCTGTCATGCCATAAGACGATCTGGCATAAAAAAACCCACTGCATTAACAAGTACATTAAACTACTGTACCATTACATACACTACAATACCTCACCCAACATCTTACGATAAATTCATTTCATTAAAGGTTCTCGTAATGAATCATATGATCATGTCTTGAAATATCTTGAACTATTATAATTCATGTTGGCCTTCAGTGATGTAAAATATGGCTACATACCACAGAATCTGTCGCTTTGTAGAGTGTCTGGACGTATTGTGGACGGGACACCTCTGTGGGTGGATTAGTTCTCTCCTGGGGGCTGATCACGCCCGTAGGCACGATGTCCAGGCCACCCGCCAACCCGACTACCAACCACATCACGCCCACAACCATCCACATGTTTCCTTTCATTATCTGCAACAAATCAAAATTTATTAGACTAAATTTGACTTAGTTGAGGGTATCTGTAAATAATATATATTTATTAAACACCAGTGAACATATTTAAGAGTAATATCAATGGTATCTAACCTATTCATGTAAAAAAAATTTAAACGTAATTAACATACACGTACAGTGTATTTCAGAGAGAGAGAGAGATAGAGCGAGTCGGGTGTCAAGAGAAAATTCCACCTTGAGACTCCCTTCCTACTACACACAACCTTTTATTTAATGCACTCACATACAGTATATACATACTGTCATACGCACAAATAAAACACAAGTGTACATATACTGTATGGCTAAATCCTGCCTACACATACAGAAATAAAACTTACAAATGACACACAACAAAATCGATTGAAATTAACGACAGTGAAAACGCACAGAAAAAAAACAAAGGAAAAGATGTGAAGGATATGAGAAATAATGGTGACGTTGTTTCAGCACTACAACATCTAAAGATCTTAAAGCAAGTAAGTAGTATTGACACTAGTCCATAAACAATTAAAAAATGAGGGTAATTAAGTTAAAATATCACCAATTAAGCGCCAAAACGATAATAGTCAAAATAAAATTTACACAAACAATAACAAAACAACCAAGTCAAAATAAGTAAAAAAAAATAATAATATAAAAACAAATACAAAAACAATAGATTGAAAGCACTAACAATGAGGCCAAAACAAATTACCCAAAAAAAACATGCAAGTCAATTGAAAAACATTTACAGTATATCACAACAAGAACAATCGCGTCAAATCAAGAACAATTAACATGAAAACCATTCAAGTCAAAGCAATTAACCTTCAAAACAGCGATTTATCAAAATACAATCAAGTTAATATGAAAATAATCAAGTAAAAAATTCAACAATAAAATGAAAACCACCATATCAAAACAATAGTTAAAAAATCGAGAATCAGGTCAAAACAACACGAGGATGTAAAGTTGTAAACAAAACAGTCACAGAGAAAAGCAAAACTCCGCGGTAAAAGTATTGTTGCCATATTTGACCCCGAGACCTACTGAACAGTATTGCGCTTCACCTTCGCTGAAGCATCCATATTTAAGTGTTGTGGACTTCACATTGTGGTAAAGGTAATACGTATATGTGAGAGGTTTCATTAAAATAATATCTATGTACTGTAGTGACAAAAATATTTACGCTCCAGCAGTGAATAGATACAGTATAGAAGGATTGCTCACTCCAGAAGCCGGCAAGTAACACAGTACATTAGAAACTTCTTTCTTTAGTTATCTGGTTGTCAACAGCGATGGTCAATTAAGGGGATAAATCCCCATCGGTTCTCAAGTAAGAGCAATGGTGGTAGCAAAGTTTTAAACCAGTTTTACACCATTTAACATGAAAAAAATATCGCAGGCAGTTTACCACTGCATTTTTTTGTTTTTGTTTTTTTGAACAGGCTACCATTTTAGTACTGATATAAGGAACATCACAATATTTACAATTTGGTTAACAGAATTAGCAGTGACACCACTCTTTCACATCTTATACTGTGCTCACTAGTATTTAAAAAGAAGTACAGCACAGCTTATAAACTACACAACTATCAAGGCTCTTAACAGTGGAAAATGTTTGAAGATCAGGCTGCATTAATTAAATAGAGCACTTAATAGCTGCACAGTACCGGGGTCCCATTGCATGCTAAAAAAATAAAAATAAAATAGAAAAGAGGGGGATTTCGCCAAATTTTTTGTCTTCCTCCCTTCACTCATTCATTCCTTGCCTTGCCTAGCTTTAACTTTCCGGCCGCTTGGCGGCGCCACATTCGGGGGTGAAGGCGTTGTCCACTACACCTAAAAAACAAATCATACGTCAGTGTTCTTAAAACGGACAAAGGGACAAATAATAACTAGAGAAAAATGGATACAGACTAGAGAACAAGATTAAGTAAATAAATGAGAAGAAATGAGGGAAATGTGAAAGGGAAGGTGATATAAAAATAAGAGTACAACATACCTATTATTAGAGAAACTATACAGGAGAGAGAAAGCGTTAAGATAATATCAGTGATAAATATAAAGGATGGAGCACATTATGAATAGAAAGCGGAAGAGGATATGAAAGTAGAGAAAGGAGAGAGAGAGAGTGCATGGTAACAGGGTCGACTTAAACAATAGCAGCGGTGAGGAGGAAAGGAGAGGGGGCGTATCGATGTTGTACCCAAGTGTAAGACAATAAACATGAGCCAAAGTTAAAACACACACACACACACACACACACACACACTTTAAACAATACACGCTCACAATTTTCCTCGAGTCATTTCTGTATACCAATTATTTTACTTCCTGTGACTAAGGTGAAAGTCATTCAATTACCAGTTTATTAATACGTTGTCTGCATGAGACAATGTTATGAATGTGTTCAAGTACTGCATTCATCACTTTGAAACCTGGTGACGTCATTAACAGTCATATGACATCAGAACACGATTCATGACGTCACTAGGATTCAGGCGTTGAAATAAAAGGAAAAGAATTACTAGAAATCACACCAGCATCAACAGAATACGCCAACAAACAACATACAGTATATGGTTTCTTGAGACAAAGCTGGAGACAGCGTATTGGATGGAGCCGAGTGAGGAAGTCAGTAGGAAAATGTGGGCTTCTCACTATACCCATGACCCGCATTCGTAAATATTATTATATTTTAATCAAGTACTCTCTAAACGTACTGTAGGATATATCGCTTGGAGATCAATTAAAGTCTTTCAAGAGAGAATTAGATCAGCTTATGAGAAAAAATCCAGATTAATCAGGTCGCAGAGGTTTTTGGGTCCGCGGGCTGCAAGTTACACTCGTACGATGAACATGTTCTCTCGTAACTAAAGATGTGTTGGAAGTAAGAACGACTTTTGACTGGACGAGTCGAGTTAAATCTAAAGCACAATAATAAAAGTCCAAAAATAATAAGGGAATTATAGTATACACTTTACCTTAGCTTGTTACGTTCACTTTGAGCCGACTATGAGGCGATGATATGTTACAGAAGGACTCAGTATGGCGGGGGAAGGGGTAGAGGACGGGGTGAAGTAGTGGTGGAAGGGATGATGTGATAGGGGAAAGGAGGGATAGGTGGCAAGGGAAAGGGGGGGGGGAGAGGTGGTAGTGGCGATGGAAAGGTGGTGGGGGAAGACGGTTGGTGAACTTAGTGGGAGGGGAAGGTTCAAGGAAAAGACAGGTGTGGTGGTGGAGACAGTTGGTGGGGAATAGTGGTGGGGGGTTGGGGGGGCACAGAGATGTTACGATGTTGACTATACCACCGTGGGAACTCCTGGTCTCTGGTCTTCCCCCCTTCCTACACAGTGGTGAGGGAAGCCCCGTTACCTCACGTCTACCATGCCACCACCCCCACAATTATCACCACTATGTTCACCATGGGGGGATGACAGTGCTCATGTATGACAACAAATTACTCATGAGTTATTATGGGTGTGTCAGTCACGCTGTTCACTAATAACTTCTTTTTTTATCGGGTTTTGACCGCTGGCGTTGACTGAAGTAGCTACCGTGTGAAAGAGTAGTCTCTCAATTAACTCAAAAATCAACCATAGTAACTGTATAAAAAATGGAAAAGAGGAATGAATGAATAAAAATAATACACATCATGAACGTAATGTCTCCTGGAAATAAAAATGGTCTCTGAAGGTAGAATTATTGATGCCAAAACGGTTTTCTATAATGAGAAAGAAACTAAAATATAGCTTTTCTAATAATCATTAAGTTCTGCTCACGTGCATGAATTCCAAGCTCTATATATCTCGCCCGACTCCAGATTCGTGCAGCGACGAGGAGATAATGGCATTTTATATACTTTCCCATGCATGACAACGTGTGCCCCAAGGTTGTGTTCTAGCACCAGCAGACTTTACTCGTGGGATACGGTAAATGTTGTTGTACAGCTCCTCAGTCGTCACTCGATCTTATCTCCCAAAACACTGACTTAACGTGATACAGATTTTTATGATTTTCCTTCAAGCTGATGGGAAAAAGTTAAATCATACCTGAGATTATCACCATTACTAAGTAAAATTTCAACTTTAAACTTGAAGAATACGATAGTGGTTAAATTTAAAGTATGCTAATAATTAAAACGACCAATTCAATCAGTCCCAAAAGAAGACATTTTCAAGACACCTCGCCATACTAAAATGACTCTCCCTCACTGCTAATCTATTTATTCCCACACGTACTGCCACAGGGTTAATATTTCCGCTTTGTCAGTGTGTAGTTGTGTACGTGAAAAAAAAACAGCTACAACACACATAACTTTGATAAAAACTTAAAGGTTGGTTGTGTGTTGGTCAAGGAAAAACCGACAATCTTCGAGAAAGTGGGTCTGTCAACACTCGGGATCACGGGTCGAAGTTCTACACCAAGCGGGGGTTTGGTGCAGTGCTGAATAATTTAGTCTTTATGTACAGTACTTTTAGACACTCATAAAATCCTGAAATTAAACATCATGTACACAATTTAGAGTAATTTCTTACAATTTTCATTAAATACGATATTCTTTCAAGGGTTCGTAGGGAGATGTAAGCCGTTATTCTTAAACCAGTGTGTAGAGATGTTTATGTAGTCTTTCGTGTTATGTCAGGTGTTAATCTTCAAGGCGATCCCAAAACAATTGACAAAACTTCATCAGGTTTGGTGAAGAAGTGTATATACGATGGATGTTCGTGTCTTCCCAAACCACGATTCACCGCAGTTGTCTTGATAAAAGATTCTTGGTTCCAATGTCACCTTATACCATTCTCTTGCACACACATACCTTCTACTGGACAATCGCCTTTGCTTTAGTATAAATTATAAACCAATAGTAATATTTGTTTGGGAAAATCCTTAAGTAAAACAATAAACGAGAATACATCCAAATAAAAGCCTTTATCGCAGAGTTTAACCACCAAGTGAACTGGCATCGACCAAGCGCCATTGTTGAGTTA